GACTTTTTGTTTTCTGGCCCTCCCAAACAACTCACATCTCTTCCTTTCATGGTGCCCATCTACATTAAGATCCAACATTCTGAGATTAAAGTCAGAATTCTAATTTTTTTTCCTATATTAAACTGAAATAGAATCATTTACCTTTTTTTTTTTCAGTGGCCCTAATCATCTTCCATATGCATGAGATCAGGATATCCGTTCATTTTCCCTGCATTAACTTTGATGGCTTTTTGTATATAAATGTTAAATATTTAAAAGTCTATTTGTTGAGTTATTTATCTATGCTGCATCATTCACTGCATCTATTTATTAAGATCTACATCAGGTAGCTGCAGGCTTGTCCCAGTCCCACTGATCTCTATTTATTCACTAGATCAATGATTGTCCGTTGGTAGTACGGGGTTGAAGTGAAGCCACCGGCCACCATATTGGTACTCCCTAGTTAGACCGGTTGCAATGTAAACAATATGTGCGGCGCAGCATCGAACAATGATGTGTTTGATGCTGTTTCATAGCATAAGTAGATTAATTTATAATAAAAAAATAGGCACATCACATTGCATAGTCATTATGAATCCTCTAAATCATGTAATATAACATATTATACAAATCCATCACAGCAAAATGAATGTGTTAATGTAGCATAATAATAAAGATGTGTTAAAAGTGCTAAATTGATGATGTACACATAATATGTTACATATTATTTTAAGATTTCACAACAAGAATAAATTACAGCTACATGTCTGTTAATGTTATAGTATTCTCCTCTTTGCACACTGTGCATGAATGATGCCATGTGATTTTATTCCGTGTCTGTGCAATAGCCTTTAAAAATGTTTGAGTTGCTTTTTTTTCCCGTTGATATAACATCCAATGTATTTCAGCACATGACTTTTTCTAATGAGAAATACAACAAAAACTACAGCGACATCCACTTAATAAAGAATTACATTGACATTTCACAGTGAATTGCTTTGTATTTTCTTGCTATTATCTAATGTTAGACAAAATGTCGATGGCTAACTCAGTCAATGTCTTCCAGTCAGTCTGGGATAGACAGACTACTGTTACGCTACATACTATACTATAGGATACATCGGCGTATATATGGATTTATACAGTCCACTGATTGAAATTACCTGTGAAATTAATTCCCACAGCTGCAAACTGCTTGTTTTAGCTTTCTAATGCTACATAGGTAGGCATTTTTTTTATTTAAGATTTATTACAGAAGTAAGATAAGTAATGGCAAACATGACAGTTGGACAGGGGAAGAGAAAGAAAAAAGAGAAGACAAAAAAAAACATAATCAACTGCTGTATCTGTAGAAGATGAAAAATGTCTGCAAACCCGAGGAAAAAACCTGCAGAAGAGTCACACGCAACCAAAACAAGCATCAAAAACACTGCAGAGAAGCTGTAGGAGCGCCTGCAAACAGACACTCTTTGGGGGCTCCGCCGCCAGCCCAGCTCCAGCAATCTGGAGGGGGCAGAGAGGACCTAGGACCCAGCTCATCAGTGACCATCCCAGAGCACAGACACCAGGAAGATCACCATGGAGACAACCAGCCCCCACCCCGAGGGTCACAAAGGAAGCCCCACAACAGAGCCCCCCAAGAGCATAGGGCTGTGGCCCCCAGGAGCCATGAGCGACGGCACAGAGACATTTTTACTGCACATTTCTGTAGGGACTACCAATATGGCTGCCAGTGGCTTCACTTTTTTGGGCTATCAGCAATGCAGTGAATAAATACAGATCATTTTAACAACAGTTGTTGACAGTTCAGAAAAAACTTTGGTAAATACGCATTTATTTATCGATCAAAACACAAGAGCAGTCAATTGTTCATTATAGATTCTCACAGACGGCATCAGAACTGTAAATAAACACATGTAGTAAACAAAAGTGTGAAATAACTTGACTCTCAACATATTTTAACTTCAAATATGGAGTTAATTTTGTTCCATTATTGTTGCAAATAAAGATCATGTTTCGTAAATAGCAATTCTGAAAAAAAAAGTGTATTCAGTGTTTAATAAGTCTGAGGATTTATTGACGAACTAGTAAAGCTGATTAATGGAAATGGGGCGAAATGTTTTTCTGATGAATTCAAAGAAAAGAGTAGAAAAGCGGGAAATCTCTGCTATATATGCATTTATTCTCATCAGCACAGAATCTATTAGATGATTTGCTGACGGCTGTTGTTGTTCTCAGAGAACGGCAGGCAGCAGCTCGGAAGGAACGGAGGACTCTGATTTCTCCACCGACCACGAACACGTGGAAGCCGCAGAGAGAGCGCGCAGACGCAGCAGCACTCGTCTGACTCGTGCGTCGCTGCGCCTCAGCCAGAGCTCACAAGGTAAAGCTCTGCCTCCACAGAAAGCTTTCTGAATGTTTTTAAACAGATCAGTGATTGAATCGTTCGATTTCTTCCACCTTCCCTCATTTGTCCGACTGTTGGAATAGTTAAAGAAAAAAAAAAAGTTAATTTATTTCTATCAGAAACTTTGAAAAACCCATCTTGTTATTCCATGATTGTGTATTTTATTTGGAAAGTAAGATTTTTAAAAACTCAATTTCTCACTTATCTTTTACTTTAATGTAAAACGTGTAAAATTTTAATGCAAAACATTTGACAAAAAAAAAAAAATTAAATCTTTCCTTTAAATTATCAGCAATTTACTTTTAGGCATGTTTTACCTTTTTCAGTTGATTGTATTAGAGATGGAGATTAAAAAATATATGTAATTAATTGAAAGTCATAAAATTACTTTAATAATTCTTCAAAATGATAAGGCTGCATTAAAAATCTCTGAGACAAATGATGCTTTGCAGGCATAATGTGGAGTAAACCTTTGGAAACCTTAGAACTGAACTTCTTTGACATCATTTTCTTGAATAAATGAAAACTTTTCTAGTTTAAAAAGTATCCTTATAATTAAATGGCTGCGATTCTGAAGGAAATTGAGGAAATAGTTTCTAATTTACTTTAAAATAATTAATATATTCTTATTCTTATTAGTTCTTCCATTTTGTATTACATCGGGTACTTTGTTAGAACTTCGACTTTTATTCTGAAATTATTTTAAGGAAAACCATCAAACATTTAATACAGGAAAGTAGTTTTACACTTTAGTTTAAGAAAATGTTATTTTTCTTGGACGTCAAACTCTGACTACAGGTACTTTTATCAAAACATGTCATTTAGGCTTAAGAAGTGTTTTCAAGGGAATCATCCAGCAGATTTTAAAAAATATTAAAGTTTATCTCTACTTTTAACAACAAGAATGACAAGATCTGAACCCTGTGGGACCGCTCTCTGCTTTGTTTTTCAGAAGAAACTCACAGCACATAGAGCAGGAAAAAACCTGCCTCTCGTTAGGAAAAGAGCAGCTGATAATATATTTATTTAGAATATGTCCTATAATGTAAATTCAGTAAAAGCTGAATGGAAGCTTTAAAATAAAGGTGAATCAGCTTTATTTTTCTTTTTTTTTATGAAAAGCGTCCTGTCCTTTTTCCCTTCAGATAACAGCAGCTTGATACGCAGCGGCTCACCGGCCGCTGCGGCTCACGATGAAGGCCCAGATTCAGCAGCAGAATCGGCTGCAGCTCCGGTGGCTGCTTCAGTCTTCTCCTCTGGACGCAGGATCACACGCAGCCAGCAGGGGGCAGCAAACCCCAAAGGCAAAAAGTACCCTTTGCGTCAGAGCAGGTCATCTGGCTCAGACACAGAGGCCAATGGTAAGTCTGGCAGGTTTTCCTTTATGCCTTTTATAAAGATAACGGTCTGACTGAGGAAAGGGAAAGATAAAAGTGTGAATTAGGGCGGCAGGATTGGGCGGAAACTTTAGGAAGAAGCTTATAAAGAGAAAAACAGGCATGTTTCAGGCTTCTCTTATGAGGCAGGTGAGTCCCTGCGGACTGGAATTAGAGATGTTGGCAGAAATTAAATGTTTTATAAGATGTTACTCACAAGCAACAGAAAGAAAGAAACAGACGTTTCCTGCTTCTTTTTAATTTAGAAAGACCAAATAAAAACCATGTAGTTCATAGCAAACCCATCAATTAGGTCCAATGATATATTACCTGGATTTTTTTCCTCAGGTGTAGAGCTGTTTAAGGAAAATTTGACGATTCACGTTAATCAAGATTAAGTTATTATTAAAATAACCATAAACTAATCTGGTAATTAAATCATTATCTAGAATAGTGGAAGAAACAGGCCATTTATATATATATATAGATATATATACACGTATATATGCATATACATATTATTTATGAAGAGATGTTTATTTACTGAAAGTATTTTCTAATCAAAAATTATGGCTGGATTAACTGATTAGTCTAAGAATCGATACCTGCAGCTAGTGATGCACCGATCCAGTTCTTTTCGATCTGAATGAATGAACCTGCATGCTTCCATGTGGGTGAAGGACTTAGTCTGAACACAAACATTGTTAAATTAAAGGTAAAAAATGAACACTGATATAAATGTACTTTATATTATCTTTTAACAAATAAGCAGCAAAAAGAAATAAGTAGCAGATCTATGTAAAATGCTGTGGATTGGATCTCTGATATCTGAAATCACAGATATCTGATTGGTACATCTGTAGCTGCAGCTCTAGTTTATTTTGAAGATTATGTTTCAGTTAATGGCTGCAGAGGCACAGATTCTCCAGAGATAATAAGCTTAAAGGGCCTTTCATCATGCAAAGTCAACATTTTTGAGCTTTTAACTCTTATGATCTTATTCCTTTACAATTTTATGCAAAAAGTGTTTTTTCAATTGCTTCTCTGAGGGGTCCTGCTGTTTGAGCAGCAGCCCCTCCCTGTCCTGTTAAAACGAGCAATATGAGAATTATTGCATAAGAATGGCCCATAAAGGAAGCATATAACTGCACTGTGCCAGCAATGTAAACAGTCACCTCTCCCCGATCAGGGATCGGAGATATGAGTCAGAGCGCCATGATGTAGCGCTTTTAGCCGCTAATCTGTTTTAGCTGATTACAGTCAAGAAAATCTGTGTTTTCTTTTCTTCTTAGCAGGAAATATTTCATAACAAATCAGTACCCAGGTGCTTCTAGAGGGATTATTTGATCAAGCAGGTTACGGGACCTTTAAATGACTTCTATGCTGGTGTTATGGAAACACAGTTTTGGTTGACAAACATTTATTTTAAGGACATTCATCTACAGTTTTTGGTCTATTAATGTGCAGCTTCACAGGCCCTTTTTTTTTCTTCTTTTTTTTTTTTACATATTGTCTTTTTTTCTCACCTTTGGGGGAATCTGCTGGGATGTCTTTTACAGAGTAAATGGAAATTTGAAAAAAAAATCCAATCCAGAAATAATTTTTTTTTTTTTCAAATCCAAAAAAGATTTTCAGTGTAAAAATGTGAAATTGTATTGTATTCAAATTTTGTAAAGATTTCTGATTAATATTTTTTTCCCCCTTTAATTATTAATTACATTTTCCGGATCTCATTCTCTTCACTTCCTCTGGAGTGAGGACCAAAGCACATTTTCTGTGGGTTAGCATGGACGTTAGCAACAGCATTTTGTAGTGTTTGTATTGAGATTGATGTGAAAGTCCAAAGTTGAAATCCAAACTTTTTTTTTATTAAAACATTTTTAGTTTCTGGATTGCATTATTTTTTAGTATTTCCATTAATTAAATATGATCTTTGCAACAATAAGGGACCAAAATTCTCTCCATACAATTTAAAT